AAAATATACTTAAAAAAAAAGAAGCAAGAAACGGAGAAAAGTCTTGCCATTTGTAAGATCTGACAGACAGCAGCGGTAGCACAACACATCTTAACTCTCACCTGGTGAGACAGCATGTTACACACCATGCCTATAAAGAAAAAAATACTTGGCATTCCCTGGTATTTTATAAACTATATGTATTTGAAGGTAAGCAATGTCACTTTTATAGAAATCTTATCTTATTTTAATTTAGAATATTAAATAAATGTCTTAAACAAGTGTTAAGAACTGTATCAGATTATTCATATCGAATAGTCCCTAGCAAACTAGCTGCAGTGAGGTCTGTAGATACATACCATTGTTATTGATTCAATGTTAGTGTTCAATTGATTTGTAGTCATTTTGAGTATGAAACAGTATACAGGCAGATAAACAAGTAGATTCTAAACTTACGGTTGGTGAGTGGACTGTACTTGTCTCCTACAGAGATGTAGCTCATTTCTTTGAAGACACCCAGACGCTCCATGTCACTCTTCCCCTCACCGGATCCCATCTTTACACACTAAAAACACACACACACACACACTCCTATAATACTCATAACCTCTGGTCACTATTAAAAAAATAATAGAGTGCACTTTTAATGTGATGTTTAAGTTTTTTTTTATTTAAACTGCTTTAGAAGAGATAGATGTTGGTAGTAACACCTTATAATGTAGTCTAATGCAACATTAACAATAACTATGACCTCAAGCTTACCAGAGTTAAAAAAAATAAATAAAAAACGTATACGCTGGTTAGTCAGTGTATAATCCTATATTATATCCTATATATAAGTGTATAACACTGTAAAACACTTCACAATTAGAGGACCTGTGACATAAAACACATTTTAAACACACACACACACAACACACGACTGACAGCATTCATACATAGAAGAAATATATCAAATTGATAAGACCATGAGCTGATCGGTACTAAACTTTACTTTCACATTGTGCAGTTGAGTATGTCAGAGGCTTATATTGATGATGACGTTATAGCGATTTCGCTCACGGTATCTCCAGAGCTGCTGAGCTCTTCAATTTCATTGCTCCAGATCAAAGTGTTTTTTCTGTTTTATTCTTTTCCTCTTATCTTTCTCCTCAGCAGGAACTGCGGCCCCGATATCTAGTTATGCGTCCAGCTGCTACATACCGTAACTCTCAATTCCAAATGAGTGCGTTTTTTATCCTCAATTTGCTCACCTACTCTCTACCAAGGTTGTTTAC